ACTCTTCAAGCTGAATAATTCAAGATGTCATTATTGGAGAACTGGGGCATTTTGCATATTTAATATGTAATGGAGAAATATTACCTTATATAGAACAAGATTTGACTAACATGTGTCAAGCTCTATGCTGGGTGCTTTTGTACATATCCTGACTTCTCCAACTATTAATTATATCACTTCAGGCAAATGACATAGCCCTTCTATGTCTCAAATTCCTGATAACAATGGTGTCAACCTCACAGTTTTGTTGTGGAGAAGAAATAAGTTAATACATGTAATGTACTTAGATCAGTCCCTGACATGTGCTTAGTAATTATTGAGCTATTATTATTATTATTATTATTATTGCTATCTCTAAAATTATCAGTGCAAATACTGGTTATGAAAACCCAGAGAGGTGGTTATTACCTCCATTTTACAGGGGAGGAAATGGAGGCTCAGAGAGGTTGAGAAAATGCTGAAAGTCACACATACGTAGAGCTGTTGCTCACATAAAACTCTTGTCTTAGAGGGCGCCTGGGTGCTCAGATGGTTGAACATCTGATTCTTGATTTTGACTCATGTCGTGATCTCAGGGTCCTGGGATGGAGCCCTGGGTGGGGTTCCACTCTCAGCAGGGAGTCTGCTTAAAGATACTTCTCCCTCTCCCCCTTTCCCACTTGCATGCTCACTCTCTCTCTCTCAATCTCTCTTTATTTTAAAGAGTGTTGAGAGTCACATTTTAAAATTTAAAATTTTAAAATCTCTCTTAAAATTAAAAAAAATTAAAAAAAAAAGACTCTTGTCTTAAAGTCCAGTCTTCCCACCACTCACCCCACCTCAGCAAGGAGACTATAAATAAATGTCCCCGAGAGATGTTTTCCTTACATTAGTTAACTTCAAAGTGACATAAAATTGTATGCAAATTCCTTTGATCAAAAAAAAATAGCACCTTCAGAATGGACTACTTTGAAAAGAACATTGTTAATTGGTAGGCACTTCATTGAGATAGGACAAAGTCCTTTGAGGTCCTAAATGTCTTTCCAAGTCAAGTAGCTCAGGGAGCCAAGCAGGGGGAAAGAATGAGCACAATATCAAGTGTCTGAATCTCAGGGTTAAGTCTTCCCTTTGCTCACTCCTGTGAGGTCAGAGACAAAATAACTGTCTTCTTCAGGTCATGATGGTGAGGATTAAATAAGATAATGTTTGTTACTGCAATGTGAACTCTAGAGCTTTGGGAAAACAATAAGGTATAATTTTTATCATCATAACCCAACTGCCAACCTTTTCTGAAATGACCCCTTTAATGGATGAATGAACTTCACTGAAATTCCTTAGCATTTGTCAGCATTTCTATTTCTAGAAACCATGAGCTAAAGGACACAGAGAAGTTCACATGTAAATGCTTTTTCTTCTTTCTTCCTTTGGAACTCCAAAGAGAATTCAAATATTACATCTTTCATCTCTTAAACCTCATCATAAAAACCAGATGAGGAATACTTTTGTTCTGGGGGAAGCAAGACTCATCATTTTCATTTAACTGCCTGGCTGTTAACAAGTGTGAATATTTTGCTTTCTAGATACTGCACAACTGGAAGAGAATAGGTCTCATGAAAGCCCAACCTTTCTTACCTAAATACCAGAACATGAACTGTCCCACTAGAAGGAGAAGTGAAGAAGGGAATGATTAACTGAGTAAATGGCACATCTACACCGAGTCTGGACCTACTCTCAACAGCAACCCCCCCACCCCCACATCACACGTGATCAGTGACGCAATCTATCCCGTCTTGACTATTCTACTATTCTTGTTTAACCTTTCACAACAATTTAATATAACTCTCCAATATCTAGTTAATTTCCTTTTTTAAGATTTAATATATTTATTTGAGAAAGAGAGGGAAAGCACAGAGAGAGCGAGAGGGAGAAGCAGACTCCCCACCTAGCAGAGAGCCCAACGCAGAGCTCGACCCCAGCACCCTGAGATCATGACCTAAAGGCAGATGCTTTAACCAAATGAGACACCCAGGTGCCCCTAATTAATTTAACTCTTCCATTAATTCCCCAGATAACTATAAACAAAGAAGTTCTTTTCCCAAAAAAGCTGATGGTGAGGTCTCTTGCCTCCATCCTTGTCCTTGTTTCCAGAAAGCCTCTAATCCAACTATCAACTCCTCAAGGAGTTTATATGGTCCAACTCTTAAAAAAAAACAACAACAAAACCTGAATCTTTTCGGTAAAAAGGTGTTCAAATAGTGACATTTTGAGTTGAGTTGGGACCACTTCTTCTGCACACACACCACCACCACCACCACCACCACCATCACCAAAAAAAGTTGGTTTGTAACCTAATCAGTCCATGGTGAGACCTACCAGTAGACAAGCTGCGCTCATGCTACATGGATTTAATCAGTTTACTGGGTCCTAACGCTCATAGACACGCTGTCAAAAATAGGCAAGGACAGATGAAAACAGAAAGAAAAAAAGTGAGATTCAGAGAAAACAGAGACCACACAGGGAGCAGAAAAATCTTAAAAACAAAAATAAGGAAATCAAACATTTGTTAATATCCTCAAAGAGAAAAAAATTATAAAATGTGTCCATGAAACACTAAGAAATAGTAAAACAAAATACTGAACAGAGAGCAAGAAAGTGCTCTTAAATATTAAAAATAACACAGCTGAAATTTTAAAATATCAGTAAAAAGACTAGATAGTAAAGTCAGAAATCTTTCAGAAAGTAGAATAAAAAATCAAGGAGATGGATAATGAAAGGAAAAAGATAAGAAATTAGAGGCTCCATCCAAAAGACGTAACATCTAAATAAAAGGAGAGCCAGTATTATAGAATACTGAGGAAGAAATTGGTAATAAATAAATAAATTAATTAATTAATTTTGAAGAATTGAAATACATATAACTACAGACTAAAAGAGTTTGCAAAGTACCCAGCACATGAATAAAAAAGGACCCATACTGAGGCATATCACCGTAAAATTTCAAAGTGTGGATAATCCTAAATGTAATTCAGGGGGGAAAATAGGTCACATATAAAAGTCTAAGAATGGAAGTGGCATCAGACTTTTAATATGAGAAATGATTAAAAAATAGGATAATGCCTTAAAATTGAGCTTTAATAATAAATTTTATCCCAGAATTCTATACCATCCAAGCGATTAATCAAGATACATTTTTATACATGCAAGGACTCAAAACATTTACCTTCTATGCATCTTTTCCCAAAAACCTACTGGAGGATGTACTCCCACAAAAATGAGGAAGACTGGGATTTAAGAAACAAAGCATCAAACAGGACAACAGTGAACAGAAATCTTATTACAGTAGCTACTCAGTAGACCCAGAGAATAACTTCTCCAGATTGGTGCATAGGGGCACCACGAAGAAAGCCTGGGGTGGGAGCATAGTAATGACAGGTTTGAGTATACAGAAAAGAATCTACCTGTTTGACAAAGATATTGGAGAGTTCATTAAAAAATAACAATAGGTACTAGACAAAAATAAAAGACAAGATAGCATGAACTCCAGAAAAAACAAAGAGCTATACAAAAAAGGAGCAATGGTTATATGTTACTATTTGGCTTAGCAGTGAAAAATATCTGTTTAAATTATAATACTATAAACCTTGACCACTGATTCAACAAAATACTGGTCAATAACTTTATCAAGGGGATGGAGGGAAATGAATTAACAGGGAAAGTGAGAGCGCTATCATATTTCCCCTTAGGTGAATAAATGAAAAAAAATAGCAGTTGCATATTTAGGAATACAAGAGTAAATAGTAGGAAAACAGCCAAAAGTGTTGATGTATAAATCTATTTGAACATAATATATAGATATAAAATATATACCTTTAGGAAGAGGGACTGAAGAATGGGACAGGCAATGTTATATTTCCTTTATAAGTGTAGTTGTATATTTGGCTTTCAAAACTTTGACTATATGCCACATTGATTTAAAAATATACTTAATATCTTTACAATTTTAAAATTAGAATTAAAAATCTCTACAATGGCAAGATGCAATCAGCATAAAGGAACACTGGAGACTGTAAGAATAAAGCTCAAGTAACTGGCCTCAAGCCAAACAATCACAAAACACCGTATTCATTTAAATCTTATACGCTCTTGTGGAAGTATGCTTTCCTCTCACTTTGTAATTACATCACTTCAAAAATCAGAAGTCCTACTACCACTGCTCCGATGTTGCGAAAAACATCAGATGGATATTCTAACTTCTCTGATTTATCACAGGAACAAATGAAAAAGACTTCCTTTATCAATCTTTTCATGATTGATCAAATCCTTAATTTCCCCACCATGCTTTCACTCTTTGGAGTATATACCTTAAATGCCTTGGTCTAACCAAACTAAACCCACTGTTTTTTATACTAATATTTATCCACTTGATGGTAAATACGCAAACACAGCATAAAACTTCTTCCAGTAAAGGCAATTCTTCTGAATGACAGACTTCACTTAACAGTTCTTAAAAATGCATATCTATATAATAAAAGAATGCATTCTCCAGTTACAGATCTAACACTTTACTAACATTTTCCTAAAACACTAACAATTCACTAAAATGATTCCAAACCCTCTCATAATTACCTTTGAATTTGGCTATTGGGGATAACTGGGTGATGGGCATTAGGGAGGGCACTTGATGTAATGGGTGTTATGCACAACTGATGCATCTCTAAATTCTACCCCTGAAACTAATAATAGAGTATATGTTAATGAAATCAGATATAAATAAAGAATTTTTTTAAAAGACAAGCAACACACCCAATTCCATTAGTTTTAAATCTTCCTGAACCAGATATGCCTGGGCATACATTTAAGGAAGTTAATACTAGTCAAGCATGCACTTGACCTACGGGTAAGAACAATTCCTTAGTATACACATAACCAAACCATGTACTGTTTTTTGGTTTTAAAAATACGCAAACTGGTTTAATAAAAGCGAATTCAAACACAGCATTTAGGAAAAGCGATTTGTTTACCTCTGTTGGTTTGTAGCAGTCTACAAGAGCTTCCTAGAATAAAATACACAGAAGGTAAGTTTGATTATTTTAAAATCCATTATCATTTTAAAAGTGAAATGAAACATTATTTTCTCTTCATGGTGTTCTTCTATACATGGTAAATCCAGATTTTCTATCGACCATCTACAAACACACTTTATCTCAGCACCCATCAGGTCATCTTGAAGATATCGAAAGTTGTACACTCCTATGCACGAATGCTTTGCACTCTTCAGAACACACACATGCCTTTCCTTCGGGCTACCAAATGGTTAATAGTAAACCGTATATGCTTAAGTCAAGACAGCCTGTGGGAAACGGTAATGATTAGCCCGGACATGGAAAGCCAGGGGTCTGGCTGTGATTCTTCCACAAACTGCCATGTCACACCCCTCCAGGCCTCAGTGTCCTCGCCTGGAAACCAAAGAGGGTGGCCTGAGTAGCTAAAGCCCCTTTGAAGATCTTAATTTTATAAAAAACCTTTTATAGGCCACTACATTTTCTGCAGAACCTGGTGCCTGCTTTACTGTTTCTAACTTTCGTGACTAGATGCTATTGCATCCGAAGTAAATTTACCAACAAGGAGTGATCACTAAGCTGACACTGTTCACCACACAAGGGACACTAATAATTATTAACACACAGAACACATTAATACATGAAAATGTGTCCTTTCGTTGCCTTTAGAGATCATTTGCCGTTGGTGATGACCAACGACCATTAGCAGTAATTAACAGTAAGCACTAAGAGCCATGACAGGGCAGAAGCTAATTGGTTTTAGAAACTCCCAAATGCAGATATTAAAATGATAGATCTGACCTCCTGTGGGAAGCGAAAGAAGTGTTGTTTCACTCTGGACTGAGGAAACAGGAGACAGCTTCGACATCCGCTATTGTACTAGGAGGTTACCAGGCAAGTGTATTCTAACAATATTTCTTTTATTAGGTTGTAAACAATCTGCTCTAGAAACTGATTTCAAGGGTGATAGAATCCAAAACCAGGAGACCAAAGTCCTGGCTTGGGCGCCCCAGATCTGGCCCAGCACCTCTCCTCTCACATAACTGTGGAACATTACTGCCTGTCCTGGCAAACAGATTTCTGGAAGCAAGAACCAGCTCTTCCTCCAAGAAGATGTGGCTACGGAAGCTCATACCCGGTAGGCGGTTTGAGAACTGACCATAGTCAAGAACTGCTTTACCATCAGAGACGCCGTGCAGGGGAATGGATACTGAGCACCCCCACTCCTCTCCTCTCGGCCCACTGCCTGCTCGGGTCCTGGTGCTAACACCGCCCTAGGACAGGATCAGTGCACACCAGGTTCCAGAGATGCAAGCCGATTCAAGCACTCACAACAGGCAAGTTCTAGATTTTGAAAGCTGCTTACCCGTAACTTTAAAGCTCTCTCTTCTTCACTGTCAGCATCAAGAAGATCATCAATGTCAATTTCTACTTCTGGCATTTCTTCTTCCTGGTTCGGGGAGGCAAATGGGGAGGCATTCTATTTAGTGAGAAACTACATTGCACCAAACCAACTTAGTTGACTTAAAGAAATAACTAGATCACTGATGGGGCAGGGCGGGGGGGCGGGGATCAACAATGGGGTGGGAGGAGAGACCAGATGGAAGAGGAGGGAAAGGAGGGGATGGGGAAAAAGTAGGCGAAAGAGAGAAAGTGGGGAGAAAGGGGAAGCCAGAAGAAAAGGGAAGAAAAAGAGGGAGGGGATAAGTGGAAGGAAGGAGGGGGAAAGGAAGAGGCAGGGGAGAGGGAGCAAAAAAGATTTAAGAGTCACAAAGTAGTAGAAAGTATTTCAAAGATGACAATTTCCTATGTTATGGTAGAAAGCTACAATTATGAGTAGAGGATGGGAGTCAGAAGATTACAGAAAGAACAGTGACACCTTCCCGGTAGGGGTCACCTCCTCCCCAGCTCCTCCCTGTCGCAGGGATCGGTTTGCAGAAGCTAGAGAGAGACCTCTATGAGGGACATCTGGGCTTAGTCGCTCAGTACTGGCTGCATCACTTGGTCCTCAGGCGCAAGGCTCACTTCCTGAGTATCTCCTTTCTAGTTAGATGCGTTCACTAATAGTGCTCAACCATTCTCTTTTTTCTATTCCAACAAACAAGAGGACCCAAGCATTTGGAGGAAAACAAGGAATATGATATACTGGTGTGAAATGATAAGAAATGTACATATTGGTCTCTACCCTGGTTCCTGGCACAGAGCTCCTAAAACCCTTATGAATGGGGGTGCCCACATTTGTTCTAACATTTAGTCTCTGACCCCAGTTCCTGAAACAGAGCTCCTAAATCCCTTAGGAATTCCTGGCTGGTAGGAACATCTTGAGTTTTAATGAGGTAACTCTTGGTGGGCTCCTGGATGGGGGCTGCTCACAAGGAAGACCAAACAATGATCGGAAGTTTGGAACTTTCCACCACACCCCTCACTCATCCTTCTAGAAAAGGGGGGACTGGAAATGGAGGGAGGCACAAACGTAGCCTCTATCCAGGTTGAGGCTGCTGAGCAGATCCTAAGGCCGCACTCCATGGTCAGGATGCTGGGAAACCCCACACTGGATGTGCGTGCTGCTTCCGTCCATCCGTGGCTATCAGCCTCCCTGGCCGCCACCATGTCCCCTGCCCCGCAAGCTGGTGCTCTGTCACTCAGAGCTGCCCATGCTCCCCCTCCTATTTTTGTGTGCATGTGAAATCCCATCTGAAAGGAGTCATTTAGAAAGCCACAAACAGAGGGGTGGTAGAGCTCTCAAGGGTCTACCTGACTTCCCACAGTGAAGGGACGTGTGGGGACTGAAACACCAACAGAAAAAATCACCAGTTTCTGAAAGAGCCGGCAGCCCACAAACACAGACCACAGCTAGGGAGCCACAGTGTGGACGGAGCCCACAGGGAACCTCCCCAGGCTCATGAATGCTGAACCAAGGGCCATCGGAGCAGAGCCCAGCGCACACTGGCTTACGTTCTGGTAAATGTGGTTAGAGATTAATTCAGTTACATCCACAGCGCAATGTGGCTTTAAAAACAACCATATAAGGCCAAAATACCCACAGCCAGTGTCAGCTGCTTCTACTCAAGAAAAGCAAAAGAGACAAACCCACACATTCCTATCTGACGATCTACACAGAACCCTCTTCTGTTTCTCCACTCCTCCCCCCAAAACAGTCATCTGCGTTTGGCATTAGTTTTTGGTGAGGATGTGAAGTCTATATTTAAGTCAAGGTTCAACGTCCTCGTGCATGGAGCAGGATACAGAACCTGCTTGAGGAATCACGGCTAGGGGGAAGCTCAACGTCTGCTATTTGTAAAGGAAATGACAGAGTAAGTCAATAAGGCTCTCCTCAGAAGCGTACGGCAGTGGGTTTCCCTGCAAACATTATTCAGCTCTGATGACCGGCCAAATTTGGCCAAATGGGCCTTTACTTGCTAGCAAAGCAGACTCCCACCCATGCAGGAGGCATCCACCGTACTCTCATTAAGGAACGCACTCGGCTCTCCCTCAGATACTACATTTGACCCATTTTCTCCAACCCGTGAGATCTGGGCTGTCCAATATGGCAACCACATATGGTATTTTCATTTAAATTTACTAAATGAAATCCAATTAAAAATTCCGATCTGCAGTCTCATTAGCCACACTTCAGTGCCCAGTGGCCACACGTGGCCCGTGGCTCCTGCGCAGATGTGGAACCTTTCATTCCATTGGACGGGATTGCCCTAGAGTCCACTCACCACCTGGCCCAGATATTGGGAAGCAAAGCCTCCTTCCCTCTCAAAGGAGCTTGACAGGAGGAGAGAAAACGCCCCGTATCACAAGGTCAATACCATTACCAAGGGTATATGGCAGGGAAAACCTAGGTTTGGCTTTCCTGAAGCAGACTGTCTTCACCGACTGAGTAATTACAACAATCATTGGGCATGGACACTTTCTACCAAACTAGGATGCTTCTCATTACCACCACCCTGTCTCTCAGTGGCTGGGAGGAGTCCGAGCTCTGTGTACACCCCAGGAGGGTGGAGTAGGGGTGTGTTCTGAAGGTCAGTGATGGTCAAACCAAAGCCAGGGACACAATGACATAGAGACATGGACCATGGAAGTAAACATGGGAGAGTCCTGGGGAGCAAGGAATGATCTAGTATCAAGTAGAGAATCCTATGCATATTTGGAGGCACCTGGGTGGTTCAGTGGGTTAAAGCCTCTGCCTTCAGCTCAGGTCATGATCTCAGGGTCCTGGGATCAAGCCCCGCATCGGGCTCTCTGCTCAATGGGGAACCTGCTTCCCCCTCTCTCTCTCTGTCTGCCTCTCTGCCTCTTTGCCTCTTGTGATCTCTGTCAAATAAATAAAATCTTTAAAAAAAAAGAACCCTATGCATATTTGGTATTTAAAAAAATTTTTTTTAAAGATTTTATTTATTTATTTATTTGTCAGAGAGAGAGAGGGAGAGAGAGCGAGCACAGGCAGACAGAATGGCAGGCAGAGGCAGAGGGAGAAGCAGGCTCCCAGACGAGCAAGGATCCCGATGTGGGACTCGATCCCATGACGCCGGGATCATGACCTGAGCCGAAGGCAGCTGCTTAACCAACTGAGCCACCCAGGCGTCCCTGGTATTTAAAATTTTTAATGAGGAATGCAGAAATAGTCCACATTTCATGGAAATTCTCTTTGGCGCTATTCAATGTATAGAGCAGTGTCACCAAATAAACAACTTTAGTGACGGATCACATCGTTGACGAGGGAGTAACCACAGCCACAGCTTACTCTGATGTTCTCGCGTTTAGCTGTGTTTGAGGATTTCCCCACATTAAAAATAAATCAGGGGTTATGGTAACACTAAGTGAAACCATTTCCTCAGGATCCCTGGGCTAAGTCACCAGCCAACATATCCCCCTTTTAGTCAGAGGCCTTCCTGTTGGTACCACAGAACAAGCCCCTTGATCATCACCACCCATCTTCTTGTTCATACATCCGTTGGGAACCCACTATACGCGAGACATTGTAGGCCAGGTCCTGTGAGACTCGGCCTGCGAGGGACTCTCTGTCAGTCAAAGCTCGAAACAAAATAACATACGATGGCACCCAAAGAGAAAGACAAACCCCCAGTTCTTGAGTAATTCAAGAGAGGGAAACCTTCCTCCAAGGGCTGCCTGGGAGGGTTTCACCAAGGAGCATGTAAGCTGGCCTTGAGGAGTGGCAGGATTTGGAGAGGGTTGTGGGGGAGGGAGATTGTCCACAAGAGGCAAAATGTACACAGGAGTCAAAAATACAATGTGAGTTGTAAATATGGCATGTAGGAAGGTCCTTGGCCCAGGAGTCAGACAGCTCTGTGTTGTCAGTTTGAATGCCTATGGCGAGCAGAGGGGTTACAGAAATGAGCACTAAGGCAGCTGGGGGCACTATAAGGAGTAGTGAGGAGCAGGGAAAACTGCAGTAAACGTGCCCTGAAGAAAAACAGCAAAGAACACTCCATTCCTGCCAATTAGAGCCACCAGATTTTCTAACTTCTCAGAAGTTGAAATAAAACATTGCAATATCTTAAAAGTTGGCTAACAATCCCTTAAAATCCTGTAAAGGATAAACAAAATCCATCCCCCTGCAGGCTGCAGTTTTTCCTCATCCTGCAGAGACTGGAGCCTGCCCGGCTGCAGGGCCACGGGCAAAAGGGAGGAGGAGAGGAGAAAGGAGGCCTGCTGAGAAGCACACACTCATCCCAGAGTGAGCGAACCAACTGGGCTTGAATGAGTTGCGGCAAGAACAAAAAGATCTTAAACCATGATTAACCGGGAGGGAAAACGGATGGCATTTGGAAGTGAGCTGGGTGGCAGGTGAGGGAGAAGGAAAGGGTAAGAGAAGATCCAGGTTTCAAGCCCCAGAGGTGCTGGGGGGAAATGCCATAATAAGGAGCACATCTGGGACGTGGAGTGCAGTTCACAACCAGCAAGCAGTTCAGAGGTAAACCATCTGCAATCCCCGCTCCCCCCCCCCACCCAAGCTCCCAGCTCTGGAACAGATGCCAGAGATGCAGGACCCCCGTCGTCGTCGCCACTGCAAAGGGAAGCGCTGCAGGGCTGAGCAGCAGAGGCCCAGGCCCCAGTGGGCAGAGGCTGCGGCCTGGAGGTGGCCACCTCCGCTGGGAGTGCACAACAGGCATGAGGACACACTCAGGCCGCCCATGCAGGCTCCCAAAGCTTGGCCGGCCTGTGGGAAACACACACCCTTGCACACACACACATTCTCACATACTCTCATGCATACATACACCCTCTCCCACGTGCATTACACACACACACGTGTGCACTCACATGCATACACTCTCATAGGCACACGTGTACACACTCATGCACATTCTCATATATGCATACACTCACAAGCACACACTCACATACACCCACACCCAGTCTTATATGCACACTCTCATGTGCACACACCCTCACATGCACGCACTCACATGCTCACAC